GAAGCAGCACCATGGAATTTGAGGCTTGGTGGCAAAACTGGGAAAAGGTAAATATTAGTTACTTACAAGTATGTGTCCATTAGACTAAGTTAGACCCTTGTACTTAGTAGAGATGAAAATGAACAATTTATTTTCTGGGAAAATAATCTTTATGACAGGAAGTATGTACAAATAGAGCATGCTCAAAATTTTTAAGTCAATCCAGTTCATAATATTGGAATTTTTTAAAAATTTTTAGCAACATTCATCTTTGTATGTAATTTGTTCATCTTGTTATTAAAGACTAAATTTTCCGTTATGGTTATTGGCTTGTTGTTGCATGTACAAATTTCCTGATTATGTATTTGAATGTCCTATTTTTTATTTCTTTCATTGGTAGTTTTAATTTTTAGAAGCCATATCTGAAATAGCCTGTGGCTTTCTGGCATTAGAAATTAGAACCTAAGGATTGAAGTTTATTGCATACTGTAAACTGCAGTTTCTAGTTTGCAATTGACTTTTGCAGTGTACCTCCTTTTTGTATTAAGACTTGTATTTGATATTCAGCATGTGTTTTCAAGCTGCTCTAGATATTGAATTTCAATGTTGTGCAGCAGTTTTTGTTCAAACCTTGTAAAAAGAAAACTGTCACCTTGTCAATTTTAAAATTAATAAAAAATGAGAAAAAAAAAGGCTGTTTCCTTATATCAGTGACAAGCATATATGGGTGACAAAACATACATCTTGCTATGGTGAAATTCTTGCAAACATGAGGTTGAAGTCTGGTCATGTGACTAGTAGAAGTGGTCTGTAGTAAGCATTGATCTTAAAGGGAACCTCTTCTTTTTTTACAAAATAGCACGCAAAATGTTCCAAATAAACTTCACAGTAGAGCTGGCATAAAAAAAAAAGTTGCCTCACTAAGCGATCTGATTTTTTTATCATTTTCCAAAGAAGGGTCTAACAGCTGCTTTGAATTTCTTGCAGCCACCATCTTTAATGGTGTGCAATGCACTCTGTGCTGATGACGTGTAACAGTTGCTTGGTGCACTCAGGGTGTAGTATTTCACTGTTGTTGATGCTACATCGCTGTTTGTCTGAAGAAAATTTGACTTAATTTGTAGATCTTCCCCACCAGTTGGAACCATAAGCACCATGAAGCGTTCGATCAGGGGCTGGCATTTTCATAATCATAACCTGACTCTTCCCCATATTCTTCATCTTCTATTTCTCTTTCCTGTTTCTCTTTGCTTCAAGAGTACTCCAGCTCCAACTGATGGGGATGATCTGTTACTCATTCACTACAATTTAATGCCAGATCTATTGAGAAGTACATTTGGAAGATTTTGGGTGCTATTTGGTAAAAGAGTGGAGGTTCTGTTTTAGGTGTCTACTGCTAAAAGACTCTGAATTAATACTGGTGAATTCACTTTAAACAATCGCAGGTTTACTGGTAGGAAGGAGGCAGGAATCAATGAGAATTCCTCATATTACATACTGACTCAGTGCGAAGATGGTGCATTTGAAGCTGTGCCAGTGAATAACTGGTATAATTTTACAGCTGACATAAAGTATCAGACTTTAACAGCTGACGAAGCTGAGGAAGAGTTTGGTCGCCGTGAAAAGACAGTCAATTATTTTTCATTGATGGTGAAAAAACGACTAATGGATAACAAAGAAGACTCAGAAGAAGGTGATGAGGTAAAACTGGACAAAAATGCAAAAGCAGCAAGTAGAACGAGCAATCTGGTAAGATATAGTGTAGCATACATTGCCTGTGGTAAAGAGAAATTAATTAAAAAAATTACTCCAATTATACAATTTTTCTGTATAAGCTAGGTAACTCATACCTCCTGAAAATATTTTGTGCCCAATTTGGTCAGTGAAAAATGCACAAATACCTCTTAAGGTAAAATACAAGATTTCAATTTAGTGCTCTTTTGCAAATAAAGCATTTTAAAACATCAAGGGAATAATTCCAAATTCTTTAATATTTCTATAAAAAGCAAACAAGGTTGGTCTGACTCATTGTATCAAAACACCAATTCAAATAAAATCTATTTTTGAACATCTTTTCATAACATCTAAAAGTGTTTTCATTATTGTGCACTGGGGAAACTTAAAAAAATATTGTAAGGGACTGTTGAGAAATATCATGATAAATAGAGTCACATGACGTGCTGATTCCTTTAGTGTTTTATGGTCACTTGTGATGTACTGAGAGGTTTTCAGTTTTGGACTTACTTACAGCTCCAGTCACTACTCAGACTTTTAACAACACTGGTGCCCGTAAATGACAAAATGCACTTCTGCATGATTCCTAAACTCTTATTGTTTATGAAAGTGTGTTGAAAATTACTGAGTTCAATATAAACAGCAAACTACAAACTTAAAGGCAAATCTAAAATTCTAAGAATCTTCTAGAGTAAGATTTTACTTAACATTGAGTCAAATTTTTACTTGTGGTGTCCTGTCAGCTGCAAAATTAAATCCTGTACATGTGAACATTGAAATTGGCTTTTATTTTGCAGATCATTCATGATGATGAAAGAGGTTTATCTTTGTCAGAAGAAGAGGATT